ATAGAGGATTTGGAAGAGAAAGGTAGGGTGATGGTGGGAAGAATTATATTCATCTCTAATGATCTAAGTGCTAGAGTCCACTGTAACTACATAGCCAAAAAGGCATTAAGAGTTGTTAACCTAATCTTACGTAGCTTTTTCTCTGGTAATATTACACTAATAACTAGAGCATACAAAACATTTGCTAGACCAATACTCAAATACAGCTCATCAGTCTGGAACCCACATTGTGCATCTGATATTAACACAGTTGAGAAAGTCCAGAAAAAATTCACAAGAGTTCTCCACTCCTCTACTCATTGCAGAATACCTTATGCCACCAGACTTGAAATTCTAGACCTAGAAAACCTAGAACGCCTTTGGTCTGATCTAAGTATAGTATATAAAATCATACATTGCAATATGCTACCTGTCAATAAATACTTCAGCTTCAACCATAACAATACAAGAGCAAACAATAGATACAAACTCAAGGTTAATCACACCAAACTTGATTGAAGGAAATATGACTTCAGCAACAGAGTGGCCAATGTCTGGAATACTCTACCTGACTCTGTGGTTTCTTCCCCAAACCCCAAAAACTTTAACCTTAGACTTTCTAATATTGACCTCACCCCTTTCCTAAGAGGTCTGTAGGGGGCGTGCATAAGCGCACCAACGTGCCTACCGTCCCTGTCCTATTGTTTCTTTTATTTTTTCTTATATGTATCCATGTATTCATAACTATGTTTTTACTTATACCTAGTATCTTGTAAGCAATTGACAAACCAGATAATATAAATTTAAAAAATACATATTGGTGTGGGTGTGTGTATGGCTGCTTGCATATGCATTCCAGATTAGTCTAAACTTAATGGGTTATGCAAGGATGAGATACGAAATTGGGTAAGGAGTATCAATAATATTTTTTTAAAAAAAACCTGACAATTTAAAGTAACAAGTTAGAAAACCAGCCTATGAGAATGACAAGAAGGAACCACTGAGTTTTGAAGAGTAAATGCTCTTCCACACCTTCCTACAATTGAACAGGAGGCTTTATGAGCACTTCCACAGAGGTTTGCAAAAATGTCAAACAGCTGTGGGCTTGCGAGAGCCCATGATGTTGACTCTGTTTGTTAGCGGAGTCTTGCTGTTGTGATTCCTTCCAAACTGAATCTGCTTTGTCTGTGTTTCCTTGTAAGGCTCCACCTGTGCAGCTCATGTAGTTTGGCTTTCCCCTGGCCAAAATTTTTGTGGTATCTTCAGCTCTAGCTGGATGATATTATAACACTTCTCATGCTTTTATTTTTCCCCCATAGGACCCTATAAGTGCATTTGATTCAAACTAATGCTAAAAAAAATAGGTGTAGAAGTGGGCAAACTCTGTATTTCCTTCCCATTTTGGATAGAGTATGGACAATGGCATCATTGTTCTTCTAGAACCAGTGGGTCCAACTCCTTGCTAAGCAGGAAACCCTATAACATTTCAGAGAAATGGTTGTCAAATCTCATCCATTGCTTCTTTTCCTGAATTCAGGTGTTTTGAAGAATAGGTTGACCAGTGGTGGGATGCAAAAATGTTTATTACTGGTTCTGTGGGCATGGCTTTGTGGATGTGGTGTGGCTTGGTGGGCATGGCTTGATGGGCATGGCAGGAAAAGGAGACTATAAAATCTCCATTTTCACCCCACTCCAGGGGGAAGGCTACTGCAAAATCTCATTCCCTCCTCACTCCAATAACCTGCTTTCCAGCTCCATTCTCCTGGGCAGGGCAACAAAAGAAGACCCAGCCAATCAGCTGGGACTCGGGAGGCAGAGAATAGATGAGGCAGGGCCAGTCAGAGGTGGTATTTGCTGGTTCTCTAAAACTACTCAAAATTTCCACTATTAGTTCTCCAGAACTGGTCAGAACCTGCTGAATGCCACCTCTGAGGTTAACCCCCTCATCTTTGTGTCCACCCCTTAAATATTGAAACACTGCTAAAATGTACTTGAAATAGAGAAGTTTGTTATTCCTCCTTGGTCTCTTTCTCTCTTTACTTTTTAACTTTTCCTCCCTCCTTAGCTTGCTATCTCTCTACTTTGCCCTTCTCACCCTCTTTCTCTTTCCCTTTTCTGCCTGGTTTCCTCTTCTCCCTTTATTGCTTCCCTTCTTCTTATCACTATATCCTCTCATCAACCTTTGTTGATAATATACAAATTCTATTAAATAACATAAATTACAATAATGAAGCATCAGCTGCACCAAAGAGACAAAATGTTTGTTCTATCATAATTTATTCTTTTTACTCAAGGCCATTATTTATTCTAACATTGCATTACAATATTAAGGAAAGAATAAACTGAAAATAACTCCTCCAAGGTTGTTAGCAAGATATAGTAATTGTATTTTACAGGGTGTTCTTGTTTTCAAGGAATGAGCATTGCTGTAAGGAATAAGGAAGAATAACTCAGATTTGGGTTAAGATAAGGGATCCACCAGAAATAGAAAGAGGGAGAGACAAAATATAGTACAGCATCAGAAAAGAGCTTAACTGAGCTTTTGTCCAATTCAATTTTCAATGCAAAAACTGGGGTGGGGGTGGGACAATCCCTCCCCCCAAAAGTCAGTCCTTCGTATTCTTTCAAATACTGTTTTCTCTATTCTCTTTCTCTTTGGTGTCATTTAAAAAAAAATAAAAAAAAATTAAATAAAAGCTTGCTTGTTAGACACAGTGGAAAAAATCACCGAGTTCTCTAAAAAACAACAACTGCTGGGTAGAAGAAAGAAAGAAGGAACGTATTAAATGTATTATTGTCAGTTATCTGGAGTCCTATCAGGTAGAGAATGTATATTATATGTTATAATGCAGACATACAGACATTCATTTTATCAAAGAAGAAGAACCTATTTATCTCCCACATTTGCATGCTTTCAACCTGTTATGTGAGCAGGAGCTGGAGCAAGTAATGAGATATTACCCCATTGAACAGAGCTTGGGTCTTGAACCAAGTGGTGGGATTCAAATAATTTAACAACCGGTTTCCTGCCCTAAGGATTTCTTCCAACAACCAGTTCAACAAACTGCTCAGAAAGTTAACAACCGGTTCTCCTGAAGTGGTGCAAACTGACTGTATCCCACCACTGGTCTTGAGCCACTGAGCAATCATTCCCCTTAGCTATCTGTAAAGACCTAAGCTTTTTCTTTTTGTTGTTGATACTACATTTATATTTATTCTGTGGTTCATGAGAGGCAGACATCCAACAGTTAGTTTTAAACTTTTGCTTACTGGATTTCAATCCTGGGTGACTTACAAAAATGAAAAATGCACAATTTAAGTAAACACAACCACCCTGGACAAACCAAACAAGTAACATTAAACAAATTCAGTGGGTACTCTACAAAAACCCTAACACAGGTCTTTGAATGGAGTCAATGTGATTGTGCAAACGGTGACACAGAAGATAGGTTCATTATTTTTTTTAAAAATGAAATCTAAGTAGTCTATAAGAGGGCAATAGTTACGAACTCCAGTGAAACAGGAAGAGAAAAATCAACTGAAAAATCCTCATTTCCTTATTTTAAGTCCCTTATTCAGCACTGTCAAAGGGAGAATGATATTGATTTGTTACCATTGTCTCCTGACACTAGCTACTCAAAAAAGGTAATGATTCTTCAAAGACTCATCATATATTTCTTCAGAGGTTTAAGTGTCAAGTTTTAAATAGCTACCACAGAACAGTTATTTTAGAAAAGCTGTCATTTCTGACCAGCCTTTCAATCACAGAATAATTTACAGCTTGCCATCATTTGATCTGCCCTTTAAAAAGTCAACTACACTCAAGCTTAAAATGTTATAAATTAATCAATGAATGGTCAGTTCTCTCACTGTCCTATCATTGGTGCATGTGTATAATCTTCTCTTTATTTATAGCTAATGTGTTTTACCAAGTCAAGCCTTAATCTTGTAAAATTCCTATCTAGAATTACATCCTGTTTGACCACTCTTTTCTCCTAAAGTGGATGTAATGTTTTAGTCAATATACTTGGATAAAAGAAATAGTTTTATCCAATGTTATTAAACAAACAATTAAAGTAGACCACATATCTGAAATTTGTGTAATTGATCACCTTTACATTAAAGTTCTAATAAGAAAATAATGAACATATTTTTGTAATACTTCTTTTCAGGTATTAGCTAGTATAGTATTTTTATAATATAAAAAGTGTCCTAAATAACTACATTGTCATTTAAACATCAAGAAAAAAATCGGTTTTCAACATCTACCATGTTAGAGAACAAACAACTAAACAATACAAGTGAAACATTTTTTTTTCTATTTTAATACTGGCAAACTGCAACTAATTTATCAAGCATAGGATACAATCTTTTTCCATTTTAAAACCTTAAAGTGTAACTTACAAACATTTCAAGTTTGCATTCTTCTTGGTGTCTTATTTTGTAAGTCATAGACTTGCTTCTATAACAGTTGCATGAGTCTATGGAGATTCTCAGTCACCAGGTCAAGGTGCTTTTTTAAGAGGCAATGGACTTTCTTGTTTTTCTTCAAATATGTTTATTTTCATCCAAGAAGCTTCTTCAGCTCTGACTGGATAGTGACAATGGAAGGATTTATATTCTTTTGTAGACAGCTGGTTGTTTGCATTTTTAAGAGAGTCATTGAGGCCACTTGGAGACTTATCCAACATCTTGAAGCCAAGAAGGCTCCACACCTATTTGCACCACTCAGGTGACCCTGAGGACACAGATAAACCTCCAAGTGCTTCAAAGACCTTCTAAAAGGATGCAAATGACCCGCTCTATATTTATAAAGGTAAATGTTTCCCTGTCAATTGTATCATGTTCTTGACCAAGGAAGCTAGCATTGTCTGAAGACAATTTTCTTTCTTTCTTTCTTTTTTTTCATTTTTTTATTTCTTTCCAAATTATAATACAAATAATATTGAAACAGGAAAATGTTCCATTTTGTTTTAACATTTAAAAAACAACTTTTCCATACAGGTTATATAACTTTAGAACAGAAGGCAAAAACAAAACATTTATTAAGAAAAGTTAATATGAAATACTCCGTCTTCAAATAGGCTCACATTCTCCTCTTCTGTGTACTTATATATAACACATTATTTCCTCTGATGAAGGCATCTCCATATTTATTTTTCAATTGTCCATTTACATACTCTTCTGTCTGTTCCAGAGCAATATTCATGTAGCCATCCAAGCAGGCTAGTACACCTCGGTAATCAACTCCAGAATTTAATTTTACAACAACTGGTCTTCCTATGATTTGCTTCAAGAAATCACTTGGAGTTTGTTTTCGTAGGCTCATTTTGGTATCTTACAAGTGCTCCGCGCTTCTTCTACTTCTTTAATCAACTCAAGACAATCCTCCCGAACCAAGGATGATGGGCTGCTCCAAGGACCAATCAGGGCTTCCCAGCTGTGTGCTGCCAGCTACGGTGGCCAAACGTGGCCAAAATCCTTCCGGCTTCTGTGTCCTGAAAGAGGTTTCCTGTTTGAGGCCGCCGCGGGAAGCTTAACCTGAAGACAATTTTCTTGATCATGTGCCCAGCACAGCTATATGCTGAATATGCCCAGAATGCTATGACATTTCCACTGAAGTAGTACCTATTAATCAACTTGCATTTACATGTTTTTGAATTTCTAGGTGGACAGGAGCTGGGGCAAGTAATGCATGAAACTCAGGTCTCAAACCTGGGATATCAGCCCTCCAGCTGACAAACTCGGTGTCTTTAATCACTGAGCCATCATTCCCCCTTAACTATATTTATAAAGAACATTATATCATATATTATCAATGTTGTGAATGAAAGAAATTAATAAAGATTCATTTGCATAGCAGGATCGTAATCCTGCTCGTTCTATTGGCCTATAAATGGCAAGTTGTGATTGGTCCAGTCCGAGCAATCTGACTGGCTGTTGGCGGGCCGCGCCAACATTCAAACGCTGTAACTCCATCCATTGGGTATCCGGATAGCAGCTTACGCTATAAAAGAGTGACTGCTAGCCGGGGGTCTTTTGTCTCTGTTATGCTTGTAAATAAAGAGCTGAAGTTCACGGTTTACAGTCTGGTCTCCGTCATTGAACCCATGCCTCAAACTTAACACTGGCGACGAGGGTGGGATTCGGAGACAATAGAGCTGAATAAACCCTACAGAGCACCAACTGAAGCACATGGCTGAGAGCGCATCTACATTGGCAGGATGTCAGGTGGCGCTATACCACCCGCTCCTTTTGACCCGGAAAAGGAAGACTGGGAGTCGTATATGGATCGGTTCCAAATGTTCCTTGAAACCAACAATTTGAAGGACGCAATAGCTGGAAAGAAGCGGGCGGTGTTCTTGACCCATTGTGGACCAGCCGTTTTTAGAATGGCAAAGGCACTCGCGAAACCGGCTGAAGTGACAGCAATGGATTGGGACAACCTTGAGCCTATCCTACGGGCTCACTATGCCCCTGCCATCCCAACACTGGTTCAGAGACACGAATTTTATCAACGGGATCAGCGCAAGGGTGAAAGTATTGCAGACTTCATCGCTGACCTAAGGAACCTGGGAGGCCTATGTGGGTTTTCAGACCTAGAAGAAGCTATGCGAGACCACATAGTTCTGGGGTTAGACGACCACACAGTCCAAAGCAAGATCATGGCAAAGGGGGACATCGATCTTGCAGATGCCATTGCTGACGCTACTGCAGCAGAGGCAACCAAGAAGTCGGCCGCTCGAATGCGCCGCACAAACGCACCGCTCCGTCAATTCGCCCATGAAGCCTCGCCTCAACCAGAAAGACACTCAGTGACAGCATACCATGAGGACCTCGAGTCCCAATCCGAGAGTGATGAAGAAGAGGTCAACAGACTTCGGGCCGAATGAGATCAACAAATGCTAAAACTTCAGCGCCCATGTGCGGGTTGCGGGGGAACCCACCCGCGATCCGGTTGCAAATTCCTCGACGTAATCTGCCATTCCTGTGGGAAAAGAGGCCACATCACTCGGGTCTGCAGAAGTAAGAGGGAATTCAACACAAATAGAAGGGAGAACAACCTCCGCCAGACCACAGGAAACCTCCCTGCAAATCGGGATCGTTTGAATAACCAATGGAACAACCATGCCTACAACAGTAAAACATCTACTCTTCCAGCACGATGAGAAGAGACTCACCAGACTATTATTATCGGCCACGCTTCGTCATTAGATAAACAAAAGATCCGAGTGGAAGTGGCCATCGAGAACAAACCTTGCCTGATGGAAGTCGACTCCGGATCGTCCCTCTCGATGGTTTCCTGGAAGACCCTTAAACAGCTGATCCCTACCGTCCGTCGGCAAGACCTCAGGACACAGAAAATCATCCTCAGAGATTACCAGGGGAACTCTATCCCAGTCGTCGGAGTGAGTCAAGTCCGTGTTTCCTTTAAAGATCGTGCCGTGTCTCTCCCATTAACTGTCATCGATGGGGACCGACCCAGCTTACTAGGCCTACAATGGTTCGCCCCACTCGGGATCGAGGTGGCCGGCATTCACCAGGCCGGAAGCGACGATTGGGAAGAGAACATCGTCCAGGAGTTCCACGACGTGTTTTCGGAAAACTTAGGCAAGTACAAGGGGACCCCTATAGCATTCAGCCTCAATCCCGAGGTAGCCCCTATCCGCCTTAAGCCTCATCGGATTCCGTTTGCCCTTAAACCCAAGATTGACAAACAACTTGATAAGTTAATAGCCCAAGGGGTATTGGAGCCTATTGACCAAGCCCATTGGGAAACCCCAATCGTAACCCCCATCAAACCGGATGGGTCGATCAGAATTTGTGGAGACTACCGCGCCACTCTGAACCATGCACTTCAACAGAGCGCTTATCCGGTGCCGGTAGTTCAACATCTTCTCCACTACCTGGGCAGCGGGAAGATTTTCGCAAAGTTAGACTTAGCGCAAGCATATCAACAACTACCCGTTGATGCAGAGACTGCAGAGGCACAGACTATCGTTACCCACCGCGGTGCCTTTAAATGCAACAGGCTCCAGTTCGGGGTGAGTGTAGCTCCCAGGATATTTCAGAGTCTAATGGAGAGACTTTTGCAAGGCATCAAAGGGGTTGTATCGTATTTTGATGATGTTTTAATTGCCGCTCCTAATAAAGAGGAGCTCGAACGGCATCTCAAACTAGTTCTACAGAGATTCAAAGACGCCGGCCTCAAGGTGAAAAAAAATAAGTGTCAACTGTGTACTGAGCGGGTGGAGTTTCTTGGGTATCTCCTCGATAAACAAGGGATTCACCCGACCGAAAACAAACTCAGGGCAATCAAGAACGCCCCAAGACCTAGAAATAAGACTGATCTGCAGGCTTTCCTTGGACTTATTAACTTTTACAACATCTTCTTGTCCCAGAAGGCGACCGTAGCTGAGCCCCTACATAGACTTCTCGACAAGAAAGCCACCTGGGTCTGGGGACATCGAGAAGAACGCTCTTTTCAAAAAGTGAAAGATTTATTAACATCCAATACTGTTCTGATGCAGTACAATGAGACCTTGCCACTCAACATTACGTGTGACGCATCACCATTTGGGGTTGGAGCCATCTTGAGTCACATGTTACCAAATGGGCATGAAGCTCCCATTGCGTACTTTTCGCGGACATTAGCGAAGGCTGAACGAAACTATAGCCAACTGGACAAAGAGGCTCTTGCTATTGTATCGGCCGTAAAGCGATTCCATGAATATGTTTACGGGCGGCCTTTTACTCTAGTTACAGACCACAAGCCCTTACTTGGCATTTTAGCAGGTGGTAAACCAACCCCATACATAGTATCGCCTAGAATGACTCGTTGGTCAGAATTCCTAGCAGCCTACAGCTACGTACTACAGCATCACCCGGGGAAAGCCATTCCCCATGCTGACGCTTTGAGCCGTTCCCCACTTCCGGAAACCGTCAGCGACCCAGTTCCAACCCTCACCACATTGCAAATTGAAACCCTCAACTCGCCGCCACTAACGGCGAGAGATATCGCTGCCGGCACAAAACGAGACTCCATCCTCGCAAAAGTTCTTAGTTGGGTCGAACGCGGGTGGCCAATCGAAGAAACACCCGCCATTTTCACGCCGTTCAAGCACCGGCAAACGGAACTATTCTCCCAAAAGGGCTGCATCCTATGGGGAGATAGAGTCGTCGTGCCAGAGAAACTACAGCGACTCGTGCTGCAAACACTACACGAAGGACACCCGGCCATCATCCGTATGAAGGCCCTCGCTCGAAGCTACGCGTGGTGGCCAGGCATCGATAAACAAATTGAAGCCTGGGTTACCACGTGTAAAAACTGCCAAGAAGTCAGCAACGCCCCACCAAGAGCAATTCCCACCGAATGAGAAACTCCTCGAGGCCCGTGGTCCCGCATCCACATTGTTTTTGCGGGACCCACGAAAGGACACACTTTTCTTCTAACCGTGGATGCCTACTCCAACTGGCTCGAAATCCACAAGATGAAAAGCACAACCACTGATGCGGTCATTAAAAAACTAGATAGATTATTTGCAACGCACGGGTTCCCGGACATTCTAGTTTCCGACAACGGACCCCAGTTTACGGCCCTCACCTTCGAACAATACTTAGCAGACCGGGGCATCCGCCACGCCCTAACTTCGCCGGCTCACCCTGCGGCAAACGGTAGGGCTGAACAAATGGTCCAATTCCTTAAAAAGATACTCCAAAAAATGGATCCGGGAGACATCGACGCGAGATTGAACAAAATTCTCTTACTACAACACATTACCCCCCACAGTGTCACCAACAAGACCCCAGCCGAACTTTTAATGGGGCGGAAACTTCGCTCCCACCTCGACCGACTACACCCAGCTTACTCGGCCGAGAAACCCTGTGGATCCAGCGGAACATATTGCCAATTCAAGGTAGGCGACCTGGTCTACGCAAAAAACCTTTCCGGCGAACCTCTGTGGGTCCCAGCCACCGTAGTCTACCTTACTGGCCCTAGATCCTACCGCCTTAAGACGACAGACAGCAGGATTTGGAAACGCCACATAGACCAACTCCGATCTCATTTACAATCAAACATCAGCGGCCCCCCGGACTTCCAAACTGAGGGGGGAGGGAATACCGTAGGGGACAAAGACCACATAGACGACGTAATCGGGGACAGACGGCCACTAAACCGAATGCTCGTGCCACCTGAAGAAGGCCCGGGATCGGGGGCATCCTCCCCGCAGAGGAACACCATAGCGGAAACATGCTCGCCCGATCCAGGAAAAGACTTAAGGGACTCTGATAGTGTCGCGGAATCAACCCCGGACGAAGACGAGCCTTGCGTTCCACCGGCACCGAACCTTAAACAAAAACCGGTGGAACAGCAGAAATC